CACACATACTCCAGAGACCCAGGAGGGCGGGGCACAGCTGATAGGAGGCTGGCCAGTCAGCACTCCATCCCTCTGACTTGCCAGGATCGTAACTTTATAACCTGTCTGCACAGAACTCAGAACACAGCAATACAGACAACCAAAGGACTCTACACTTCCTCTGGTAAATGACCATTACTGCTGGTGATACATGTTCAATGCAGAACAAGGACAATAAAAGGACAATACAATTATAAACAACCCATGATGATAGCTTCATTTGTATTCATATATTTAAGGTATATTCACTAAGTACCCACAAGGTCTAATAAAATTTAAAAAAATTAATTAAGGCCAGGCACGGTGGCTCACACCTGTAATCCTAGCACTTTGGGAGGCTGAGGCAGGTGGACTGCTTGGGGCCAGGAGATATAGACAAGCCAGAGCAATATAGTGAGACCCCATCTCTAAAAAAAAAATAGAAAAACTAGCCAGGCATGATGGTGTGTGCCTATAGTCCCAGCTACTCTGAGGCTGAGGCAAGAGGATTGCCTGAGCCCAGGAACTTGAGGCTACAGTGAGCTATGATAACACTACTGCACTCTAGCTTGGGCAACAGAGCAAGATCCTGTCTCAAAAACAAAACAAAAAAAACCCCCCAACACATAAAAATATTAATATGGGTTTAAGATGTAAGGAATAAATGGCAAAATTCTCTGCCACAGGACAAGGTTTGTAAAACTATTCATGTAAAACATAGAATGATTTTGGAATGAAGTGAAATTTTGGTGTATACTTCCTTCCTGAAGAGGAAACAGATCAAGATAGAATTTTAAGTGATGTGTCCCAAACCTGGCCTCATTAAGTGCTTCCTTCTTTAGAGAATGAGATCCTGACCTTCATTTCTCTCTCTCTTTCTTTCAAGAGAGAGGGTCTTCTTCTGTCACTAGGCTGGAGTACAATGGCACAATCGTAGCTCACGGTAACTTCACACTACTAGGCTCCATGCTCAGCTAATTTTTTTTTTTTTAAAGATAGAGTCTCGCTGTGTTGCCCAGCTGGTCTCAAATTCCTGGCCTCAAGCAGTCCTCCTGAGGCCTTGGCTGGGATTGCACGTGTGAGCTATCGCACCTGGCCATTTCTTTAATTACAGTGTGAAATAGCAACATATTTGGAAAATTCTTAAAATTTAGAATAATTTTTATTTTTAATGACCTATATCTATTGAATGTCTGCCATGCACCAAGAATGCAGCTGAACACTTCATCAACACACAGTGTTGTGTTTTTTTTGTTTTTTGTTTTTTTTTGAGACAGAGTTTCGCTTTGTTGCCTAGGCTAGAGTGAGTGCCGTGGCGTCAGCCTAGCTCACAGCAACCTCAAACTCCTGGGCTCAAACGATCCTTCTGTCTCAGCCTCCTGGGACTACAGGCATGCGCCACCATGCCCGGCTAATTTTTTCTATATATATTAGTTGGCCAATTAGTTTCTTTCTATTTATAGTAGAGACGGGGTCTCGCTCTTGCTCAGGCTGGTTTTGAACTCCCAACCTTCAGCAATCCACCCGCCTCGGCCTCCCAGAGAGCTAGGATTACAGGCGTGAGCCACCGCGCCCGGCCCAGTGTTGTGTTTTTTATCAACACACAATGTACTCAAAGTTAATGCAAAGGGTGATGAGAGACAAAATCTACACTAAAGGTTGTTGGGTAATCTAATCCTTAAATCTTCAGAGCTGAATTGCTAGTGACTGGGAACAGACTAGTTGCTAATCCTCTTCCACAGATGTCATTATCTGGGGAGGGGGTCCAGGCAGTCCCAGCTCTTAGATTAGGAGTAGCATTTCCATAAAATAAGGCTATTATGACTTTTCAGCATCTCGGTCACTTCGATTAAGAACCAGTGGATGAGATGTCTTTCTGGGCAGGCAGGGTAGGGACAAGTACCCTCATTTTACAGAGTGCAGAGGCTTAGAGACGGAACGGGCCTCAGCCACGTGAGCCCTGGTCTCATCCTCTTTCAGGAAGGAAAGTCTAACACAGACACTGCTACCACACAGAGGGAAGGCCTGTGGCAGCAGGCGGTGTGTCTGACAGAAGATCACACTCCCTGGACACATCCCAGGAATCTGCAGCACAAGAATGCTCCAATCAGAATATAATAATGAACTCACTTTAGGAGTACTACAGTTTTAACTGCCTGATGTTGAACACCTGGAGGTGCATGAGGGCCACCACTGAGAGTTAGGGTCTCTTCTCCTGTGCAGGACCAGTCATCATGTTTCGTTTCTGGACAAATGTATTCCAACCTGTCTCCTGAGGACCCAGGAGTCTGTTTCCTTACTGGAGGAAAAACTGGCTGCTTTCATTTGCTGGTATGGTTTGCTCACAGCACCATACACTCCAAACCCTGTATACCACCCCCCTTCACTACCCCCCAACTTCAGAAGCAAACTTCCACCTTAGATAAAATTCTACCTTTTCATGATCTCCGGCCCCACCGCACTTTATTCATTCAACAAACACCTACTAACCATCTACTATACCTCAGGCACCAACGTGAGCATCTCAAGCCTCTAGAGCTATACCATCAGCAGCTTATTCTAGGATTCTTCATGGTAACGTCAGGTAGGTGGTCAATGAATAATTAGAAGAAATCTGATAAAGAAGGCTTGCGTTCAAGTTCCAGGTCTAACAATTATTAACAGTGAGAAGCTGTGCAATGTACTGGTGTCCAGCATAGTCCTACGACTCAGCCAAGCAATGCCCACCCTCTGCAAGTGAGGGGGACTCGAGAACACAGAAATGGCTTAGGAATGTGCAGCATCTGTTTAATCTCTGAACCATGTTAAAAGAATCATCTCCAGGAGCTCAAGAAAACCCACTCATTCTGAGTTAGTGTGGGCATAAGGTGAAGGTTCTGGAAAGGACTCCAGCACCTTGAGTCACAAAGCAGGTCCTGCTGGGTTCTGCTACAGCATCAGGGCTGATGGGCCTTGGGCTAAGGGCATCAGGAAGGCTCATCTCAGCAGTTCTTCTCAATTAAGAGCCAGGCACATGATCTCACCCCACTCTACTTACCAAATGTCGCAACAGAGTATAACGACTAGCATGAGGGGTTTTTTCTGGAAATCAAAAATAAAATTTCTAAAAGCATTTTTACCCAGTGGCAGATTTGACTTTTAAAAACTTTTTAATTTTTAAATAATTATAGATTCAAATTGCAAAAAGATTTACAAGAAGGTACCAAGCACGGCCCCCCAATCCACCTGGTACCTGGGCTGTCTTTCATCAGTGGACAGGTGGGAGTTGGAGACTCTGTCCCAAGGGCAAATATTACTCATCCCACAAATTCCAGGAACCCTGTACCTCTATGGGATCAGTACTCACCCACAAGCACTTCCGGGTGACACGGCCAAAATACTGCACAGCCGTGGCTAAGCTCCTCATTTTTCATTCATTCAACAAATATTTACTGGGCACATACCAAGTGCCAGCACTGTTCTTTGCACAAAGCAGTTTCCCCATGGATCTCACCTCACAGTAAAATATTAAGTATCATAAACGCATTAAGTAGGACATTAGAAGAATTAAGTGCTGTGGGAAAATTAAGCGGGGAAGAGAGATAGGACATAAAGAAGTGGAGAGTTGAAATAAGTAGGGTAGTCAGAGAATGCCTCAGAGAGCTATGAGGGCGAAGAAGTGAGCCTTCCAGGCAGGCCTGAGGACAGAGCACATGAGTTTGTTCACGGACTAGAAAGGAGCCTGCCATGGCAGGTGGCCAACGGTCACAGAGGGGTGGGGGGACTAAGACCCTGCAGGCCCATCCCTCTTCACCAAGGGTTTCCACCCAGAGGCCACAAAGTCAGCCAGCCAGCAGCGGCTCCCAGAACCCTTCACTTGGCCAGAAGCCACCTGGAGCCCCCAGCCACCCTCAGCCCTACAACACTCCAAAGTGAAAACAGAACCCAGGATCAGACACTTCCCCAAAGCCCTTAAGTTGAGGCTTCTAATTTCAATGTGTTCGACAGATTACATGTTCCTGAAACTCAGCATGATACTTTTTAAAAAGAGAGAAGCAAATAAATGCACATAAAATCTTAGAAGCTCTGGGTATGGTTTTGCCTTCAGGCAACCGTGACAATAGACGGAGCACTTTCACTGTTTTTGTCATTAAAATAGGGTTTTCCAAACAAAGTGTCTAACAATTCAAACCCAGCACCGATTAGGCTATGACCAGCAGGTTAGAACGACCAACAAGTCACAATCCAAATCTTCCCCACCAAGCCTAAACCTGAAAACAAAACTAAAGCTGGACTTCTTACTTCCTTTTCCTATATGACACAACAGAATGAATTTTGAGAAATCGTCTCAATGGGGACATGAAAAAGGGAGTCCTTAATCCAACCACTTAACTCCAAGTTAGAACCTGAACGGATGAGTTCCTAATACGCTCTCCGTAAGAAAGCGATACAAAGCGCTTCTTAAAATAATGTTTTATACAGAAGATGAAAGTTTTTAAAAAAACAAATCAAATGCTTTTTGGGATTTACAACATCTAGCAGATTCATTCACAGGGCGCTAAGGGACAATCCTCCATTCTCCAAGCTATAAATACAGTGACCCGGGAACCACATCATCCGGCTCCCGTAACCCGGCGGCTCCCGACTTCCTCGGGCCTGCCCCGGAGGACGACGCGGACCCTCCGCCGGGTCGCGGGCGGGAGGGGCGCGCGGCGGCCGGGCGGGGGCTGGGGAAGCCCGGGGCCGGCGGCGCACAGCACCCGGGTCCGCGGAGCCGGCGCCCGCGCCCCGAGCGGCAGTGTGAGCGCGCTCCTCGGCGGGCCGGCCCCGTCCGCCGCGACGCCAGGCCGCCCCTGCGCGCCGCGCCCGAGCTCGGCCCAGGCCCCGCGTCGCAGCCGCCCGCGGCCGCAGCCCGGCCCGAGGTCGCCGCCATTTCCGGCTCCGGCGCGCGGCCCCGCGCCCCGCGCCCCGCCGGCCTGGACGCGTCCGCCGCGCGAGCTCACCTGCCCGTCGGCCGCCCGCCCGCCGACTCCGCGGCTCCGCTGCCCGCTCCCCGCTCCGCCGCGCTGCTGGGCAGCGGCCGAGGCGCTCCTCAGCCTGGGTTCCCGGGGCGGCGGCGGCGGCGGCGGCAGAGGGCGCGGGAACAGCACCGGCAGAGGTGGCGGGGACGCGCACGCTCACGCACGCTCGCGCACGCACCCGCACCGGCGCGCGCGCCCCCGGAAGGACGTGGGCTCTCGCGGGTCGGAGCCGCGGGCAGGACTGGCCGCGCGTGCGCCCAGAGCGGTGTGCGGGGCCCCGCCCTTCGGGGGCGGAGCCTGACGGACGACCGGGGCAGAGGCTCAGGAGAGCCCGGCGGAGGCTCCACCCATGATAGGTGGGGCCAAGGTGACAGCCCGAGGAGAGGCTCCGCCCACGCGGGGCGGAACTCCGATGACGGCCGGGGGGCGGAAGCTCGAGCGGCGGGCGGAGCTCGAGGCGGCCGAGCCGGAAGCTCCCGCCGCCCGGCAGGGGCGGGGCCGGGCCCGGGTTCCCGGGCTGCCCGGTGCCTCCCTTGGCCCCGTGGGCCGTCTGGTGCCGCGGCGAGCCGCAAGGAAGGAGCGGTATGGGGCTCGCAGTGCAGCGGAGCGTCCTTAGCGCGATGGTTCTCGTGACCTGGAGAGGGCGCCGGTGGGAGGAGTCGGGGCCCGACGTCCCCGCCCCGCCACCGTCGCGGAGCGGCACTCGCTCGTCCCCGGAGCGCCGATGTGGCACCTCCTTCCACGCCGGAGCCCGGCCACCTCCAGAACCATCCCCAGAGAATGGCGTGGGGGGCAGGACAGGCGGCCCCCGCCCCTCGCCCGGCGCGGGCCCGCTTTGCCACGTGCCCGAACCCCTGCAGATTCCCGCGTGTCTTCTTTACTTGCTGTACCCAAATCCGGCCGATTCTCATAGCATTGCCTTTCCCTTGTGGGATCTACTTCAGTCATCCCGCCCATTCCTTTCCTGTGGTCTGCAGTCCCCACCCCGGGGCCTGTTAGGGTCATGGCCTCAGAGCTCCGCCGCCCGCCCCTCCACCCTTTGTCTGTGGGAAAATTGTCTCCAGGAAAGGTAGGAAAGAGGCCGCACAGCAGGAGGTGAGCAGCGGGCCAGCAAGGGAAGCTTCATCTGTATTTACAGCCGCCCCGTCAGAAGAAATACTTCCATGAAACCGGTCCCTGGTGCAAAAAGGTTATGGACTGCTGGTCTGGAAGCCCTGGGTCTGGGGGTAATGGTGCAGGGATCCAACTCATGTCCCTTGACCACCACCCAAGATGTGACTTCTGTAAATTCCTATTAAATGTTTCTTTCTGAGACATTGGGCAAAGTCAGTCTCTTTCTCTGGCTGACTTTAGTCTGACTTCCTCAGACTTTGGGAGTAGGGTTGCATAGACCTGACCACAACAGAACATCTATCACCCAAAGTAACTGTAACTGGCCATTTTATTGAGTGCCTACTCTGTGCTGCCTATGGGGGGATGTGCCACTTTTAATCCTAGAAGCCACTGGACAGCCCCGTGCAGCCAGTGCTCTTGCCTCCTCACTTCCATTCTTGCCCATTGACAATTTTGCATTTACTGGAGTCATCTTAAAACAAACCAAATGACATCCAAGGCTTCCCAGGGCACACTGAGTGAAATGCAAACTCTTTTCCAACTTGCTCTGACCCCACCTTCCTCTGCCATCATTTGTAGCTCACTGCCATCATGCCAGTCTTGAACTGCCAAGATTGTTCCAGGCTCAGGGCCTGTGAGTGAATAGCTGCAAGCCTCCTAGCAGTCACTAAACTGCGACATTAAACAGGCAGCAAGAAAAGGCCTATGAAACCAAGAAGCAGAAAGGCCAGATTGATATCCCTGTCTCTTGATTCAAGACAATGAAAGATTTCAGGCCAGAATCAGAGGAATGAGAGAACAAAATAGACCTAGTACCAATTTCAGATTGATGCTGTGTTCAGCTTGTGTTGGGAGCTGCAAGAATGAATGAATCAGGCCTTAAGTGAGTCCCTCTGAGACCTGTAGTTCCACAGCAGGGATAGTCTTCCTAAAAAAATGTTCCCAAATACAGAAAAAGGTATATGCCCTAAGATGTTCATGATGGTGTTATTTGTAATAGTGAAAATGGAAACCTGCCCCAGCGTACAAGCAAGCACGCTCAAATGGAATGTTACAGTTATTTAAAATGTGTACAAAGGCTACACAAGAACAACAAAAATGTTTGTGATAGCTCCTGAAACTAAAATGAGCAAGATGCATGTCTATAAAAGGTGCATTACACATAAGTTTATAATAAACAAACAAGCCAACCTGTTCAGAGGAAATAAAACAGGAAGATAGCTGTCAAATGTTAACAGTGGTTAGTGTGAGAGTCTCATATTGACATCCCGTGCATCAGAACCTGTTAGGTGTTTTATATACTTTAAGCCTTTAATCAGATGAGGCAGATACTGATTATCTTCATTCGGAGAAAAGGGAGCCTTGAGGCAGTGCTGCCACACTCCAATGCTAGCTCCAGTCCTCAAGCGCTCAAAGCTCTTCACACCTCAGCCACCACAAGCCACGGTTACTTAGGGGAACACCTTGTCTTCCCCAACAAAGGAATTACACAGTCCTCAAGGGCTGGGTCCACATTAGACTCACCCTTGTACCCCACAAAGCCCAGCAGACTCTTACCCAAAGGACATTTCAATATTTAATAAAGACCACACAGAACCCATAAATACAGCTCCCATAAACCAGAATAAATATTGAATGCGGGTGGTGATGGTGTTTTCGCACTTTGTTGGTACCAGTTCACCGTCACATTGGGCATACACACCATACAATTCCAGGTCACTTAACCTTCCTTGCTGTTACATCTGGGGCAATCCCCACTACCTCTGACCACTAAAGGAGGTCTGATGCTCCCACTAATGCAGCTTCCCAGTGGGAACTCCCATGATGGCAGGAATGGACAGGTGCAAAGCACCAGGTGCAGAATGGAGGTTCTCCCTCAAGGGTCTTTACAACGTGGTGAGCAACCTCAATCCTGCTGCCAAGAAGGAAAAGCAGATGCAGAACATTGTATGCCATCCTTTTTTTTCCTTTTTTTTTTTTTTTTTTGAGACAGAGGCCTTGCTATGTTGCCCAGGCTGGTCTTGAACCTAAGTGTTGGGACTACAGGTGTGAGCCATTGTGCCCAGCCCATGCCATCTTTGAGTAAGAAAGGGAAAGGCATAGAATATTCATACTTGCTTGCTGTTGCACTGAAGAAACACTGGGAAGATGAGTAAGTAGCAATAACTGAGCCATCACAGAGGGTGCTCGTGAGGAGTGTTTCTGAGCTTCTACACACTTAACAAAGGAGTCCTTGCATCACCCTGGGAGCCCCAGTTGCACGCACACTCCCCTACACCTGAGGCAAGCTTTCCGCAGGCAAAGACTGCGTCCTTCCCCATGGAAGCTGACAGCTTTCACAGGGAAGAGCTCAATTACAACGGCAGCTAAACGCTTGCAGCGTCAGGGAAGCCCCTTGAATGGGGGCCAGCCTGGCTGGCTGGCAAACCTTTAGAGCAGGGGTCCTCAAACTTTTTAAACAGGGGGGCCAGTTCACTGTCCCTCAGACCATTGGAGGGCCGGACTAGTTTTCCTATGCACACTGCACATACCTTATTTTGAAGTAAAAAAACAAATGGGCAGAAACACCCACATATGGCCTGCAGGCTGTAGTTTGAGGGCGCCTGCTCTAGAGTGCCCAGCCCACCATGTAACCTGGTGGGCTCCTCCTCAGAGATGTCGGGTCTGACCCCACAGGTTTGTCACCATTACATTCTCACAGTTCATTCCATTTATCTTTACAGCATTCAAGATTTGCAATTTGTATTTGGGATTATGTTTTCTGCCTCTCCTAAGGGTATAGGACTCACTGTGCCAGGGACCTGTGCTGGTTTATTTACCACTCTTGTGTCACAGTCCTGAAAGACACACCACACATGCTGAGGTGAGTTTTTCCCCAAAGGAATGCTTTATTGACAGGTTACCCATTATTTAAGAAGATACATCACTTCCTGCCCCTGCAGCCTGCCTTCTCACCGCACCCCACCACACCACACCCCACCAAGCATCTCCCTTCCCTGGCCCCTGCACCCTGCCGTGTGTGGAGTGTCTGAGATGGCCTGGGACACTTGGTTATCAGAGGACACCTTGAGCCCGGCATCCCTTCCCCTCCAGGCATGCAGGGAAGGCAAGGCCTCAGTGCCCTGCTAACAGCCACTAAGGCACAGAACTGCTCCTCCAGACCACACCTCCTGACACACAGGGCCCTGATGGGAGAGGCTGTGGGGCGTGACAATTTAAAAACTGGAAAGAGATCTTTGTAGCTCTTGAAAGTGACAGCAGAGTCTTGGCTGATCCCAACATCCACCCTGACTTGACGTTTGGGGTCAGTTCTGCTTTTCATTCATCCTGCGTGCAGTAAACAGGCAGGCTGGAGTCACGGGCCAGTGGGCCAGGCCCGCCAAGGCGGCACTGTGATGGGGGCGCATCTCTCCTGGAAGACAGGCTTTTCCCACTCTCTCCCCCTCCCATTCCCAGGGGTCTGGGATCCCTTTAGGGCAGAGTGGGGAGCCAGTGGGAGCTGCTGCAGTCTTGGAGAGAAGCAGGTTTTATGCACTGGGATGGAGCATGCTACTGAAGTAAAATACACCAGCCAGGCAGGCTGCCACGTGCACTGGACATAAAATTCTACACAGTGCTCACAGCCCATTAAGGAACCCCCATTTTTATATATAAAAAAACCATAAACAAAGCATAAGGCAATGTAAGGCTTATATTTCAGCTTGAGTCAAAAGAAATAAAATCCTCTATGAGGCTAAAGTTGTTTGCCTAATTTTAATTTTGAAAAGCCCACTGCATTTAAAAAATAATAAATTTGCTTTTGTTAAAGCTAGATCATTAGTGTAACAATCAGGCAGCTGCTGTGGTAATCAGTTTCCCCATTCAGCATTTTGAGATAAAAAATTTCGATCAGCCAGGGCTTCTGGGTGAGTGTATTCCTTCTGTGAGTCAGGGAAGGAGGAGGTGGTCATAAAATGCCACTTATTTCACAGAAGTGACTCTTCCACCCTTAGCCATTCTGATGAGCTAACAAAAAGGCCCAAGGGAGCCTGGGCTTTGGCTCGACACCCCTCCACATCCTCCACCCTGTCCATTTCCTGCGCCCTAGGAAGGACGGCACAGTGATCTGTTTCGTCTACAAACTTTAGTGTAAAACATCTGTGTACAAGACCGTGTTCTTTAATTCATGCGGACGCAGCAGCCACATCTCCATGTGGACGGGCACGACTGTCCTCCAGCCGGCTCTGTCCATTCACCCGGTCGGGTTGCCCCACTGCGCAGCGCAGATTTGGCTGTGATGAGGAGGGTGTGCTCGCACGTGTTCTGTGGCTGGGCGAAGCTGCTGCAGGCTTAGAAAGGCGCGTGATCCGACAGGGGCTGGTCGCCATTCCCCGCTGGGGAAGGGAGGTTGTCACTGCTGTTCTCTCTGTCACCGACAACCTTAGACTACGGGAGAGAAATGAGCAAGAAAGAAAAACCTGAGATAGAGCACATGGTACGTGGTAGGTCCATGCTCAGTTCTCCACCTGTGTTTATGTAACATGAATACCGCTCAGCAATGAAAAGGAACAAATCACTGACAGGCAGCAGCCTGGACAGGTCTCCAGAGAATTATGCAGAAGGAAGAGACAGCCCAAAGGCTACATACCATAGGGCTCCATTTATGTGACATTCTTGAAATGACATAATTATAGAAATGGAGTCGAGATTAGAGACTGCCGGGGGCAGGGCAGTGGCTACGAAGGCGCCACGAGGGATCTTGGTGGAGAGAAGTTCTGTATCTTAACTGTCTGTGTCGATGTCCTGGTTGTGAGCCTGCACTATGGTTTTGCAAAACGTTACCACTGGAGGAAACTGCGTAAAAGGCACAAGAGACCTCTTGTATTATTAAGGCTGGTGCAAAAGTAATTGCAGTGTTAGCATTGCTGATTTTTGCCATTTGATACTGGAATACATTCTTAAATAAATGTGGTTATGTTCTGCATCATTTTAATGTGTATTTCTCACTTTGTTTTTTTGCTAATGACTTATTTTGCTCTTTATTTTATATGTATTTTAGACTATGGATATGTTAGACAAAAAGCAAACGTGAGCAATTTTCTTATTCGAGTTCAAAATGGGTTGCAAAGGAGCGGAGACAACCCGCAACATCAACACCACATTTGGCCCAGGAACTGGTAACGAATGTACAGTGTGGTGGTGGTTCAAGAAGTCTTGCAAAGGAGATGAGAGCCTTGAAGATGAGGAGCATGGTGGCCATCAAAAGTTGACAATGACCAACTGAGAGCCATCATCGAGCCATGATCCTCTTACAACTACATGAGAAATTGCCAAAAAACTCAACATCCACCATTCTACAGTCGCTCAACATTTGAAGCAAACTGGAAAGGGCAGAAAGCTCGATAAGTGGGTACCCCATGAGCTGACTAAAAATCGAAAAGATTGAAGTGTCTTCTCTTATTGTTCGCAATGAAAACGAGCCAATTCCCAATCAAATTGTGATATGCCATGGAAACTGGATTTTGTATGACAGCTGGCAACGACCAGCTCAGTGGTTGGACCAAGAAGCAGCTCCAAAACACTTTCCAAAGCCAAACTTGTACCAAAAAAAAAAGGTCTTGGTCATTATTTGGTGGTCTGCTGTCAGTCTGATCCACTACAGCTTTCTGAATCCAGTGAACCATTACATATGAGAAGTATGCTCAGCAAATCAATGAGATGCACCAAAAACTGCAACGCCTGTAGCTGGCATTGGTCACCAGAAAGGGCCCAATTCTTTTCCACAACAACATCGACCGCACATCACACAACTAGCGCTTCAAAAGTTGAATGAATTGGGCTACAAAGTTTTGCCTTATCCCCCATATTCACCTGACCTCTCACCAACCGCCACTTCTTCAAGCATCTCGCCAACTTTTTGCAGAGAAAATGCTTCCACAACCAGCAGGATGCAGAAAATGCTTTCCAAGAGTTCATGGGATCCCGGAGCACAGATTTTTACACTACAGGAATAAACAAACTTATTTCTCATTAGCAAAAATGTGTTGATTGTAATGGTTCCTATTTTGATTAATAAAGATGTGTTTGAGCCCAGCTATAATGATTTAAAATTCAGAGTCCGAAACTGCAATTGCTTTCGCACCAGCCTAATACTTCCTACAACTGCATGTGCATCTACAGTGATTCAATCACTAATGATAAGTGATGTGAGTGACACCCCATCAAGAGAATCAGATAGTCCAGGTACAATTACCTTTATGGTCCCAACTCGGTCTTCAAATGACTTGAAAGTTGCAGAGTTCCTTTAGAGAGAAGGAAGAGACATTGGTGTAGAAACCAAACTGTCACGCTGCCCTCTGAGACCTGAAGGGTCAGGGTTAGGGCCGGAGGGCTCCCTAACAGCATCCCACAATCTCAATGCAGAGACACAACACACCAAAACAGGAGTGCCCCTTGCAAGAGGTCCAGCCAGGGTCACTAAAGAGGCCCCCCAGGTCAGAAGTGAGGTCAGCCATGCCCACCAACCACAGGGCAGGCCCAAATGTCACACGGGGAACCACAAGCCCTAGACTGCAGCAGAGGGGGGGGATGCCCAGCACATCTTTGGTGCACCCTTGGTGTACACCCTTGGCTCTTCTGTACTGGGGCCATGAAAAGTTCTAGAGTTCCTCACACACATCTCAGAAAAGTCAAGCGAAAGGAAAACCAAGGACAATGCTGGGACAGCAGAGTGGGGAGGAGGCAGAGGAGAAGACAGTGGACCAGCCCGTCCCTCAGTCCCTCTTACACAGCCAGATCCCCTTCCTGCCCCGAGGCCTTGACGACACCCAGCCAGTCTCCATAGCAAGAACAGGCTCTCCTGAGAGTCAGCTACGCCTGACCCAGCAAGCACAGGAACAACAGACCACAGCTCTGGGGGTTTCCATAAAGGCTCTGAGACACTCAACCCCTCCGCCCCAAGCAATAGCCCGTGGCAGCAGGTGCCAGTGCCCATGGGGGAGCCTCTGGTACCCACTCCCTGGCCTGACCCTGCAGGCCGCCAGGACTCAGAAAGTTCAGGACAGGGCCCAGTTTGGCAGAAGGGTCTCCTCTGGAGGTCGCAGGATAAGAGTCTCACCCCACCAATTTCCCCTCGTCAGCCTTGGGGATCTTTCCCAACCTCAGCCGATTGGGGTGGAGGGGGACACAGGAATGGGAAGATATGACCAGCAGCAGCCACCCAACCCCCACCCAGAGACACCCCACCTCCGGCGCCACGGGGGCAGGCATACGTTACCTCATGGCCGGCATACTTATTGAGTGGCGGATGGAGTAGCTGCTGCTCGGAAGCATGGTAGAAGCAGAGGAGGAAGCAAGAGTTAGCACTGAGGGTAAGACCAGCAGGCGTGCATCAGACAGTCTGCATGTAAACCCGGCTTCGTGGGACCCACTGCTCCCCACAAAGCTGGAGCGGGCTCCTCCACTCAATGCCCCAGAAGGAAACCTGTCCCCAGGCTCCTCTCCCCGAGTCCTTGGAGAGCATCCAAAGCCACCAGCGGTGTGGCACCGGGGGCAGGAGCCTAACAGAGGGGACTGGAAGGAGACCTAGGCCTGGGCTTTCACAAAACACAGGGTACACACAGCCTTCAGATGCCCTTGACTTTACAGCGAGTTAAATGACCTTTTAGTAAAAGAGAAACAACCAAGTCAAGTAAAAATATCTGCAATTGGATTGTCCTGGATCTGAAATCAGATTGTTCTGGATTCGGCTCTAGACCTCGGAGCTCCGACAAGAGCATGCTTTAGTTAGCATGAGGACAAGGACCACTTGAGAGGAAGACCTAAGGGTTCTCAGGTAATAAATGAGACAAAGCTCAACCTGAGGGGACAGGTGTGCATCTCAGGAAAACAAGGAAACAGGACTAGTGTATGAAGGGTCAGCACAGCCCTTCCCAGTCAAGATGCTGCTTTTTAGGAACAAACTCGAGTGTGGATACCGAGATGTCCATGTTGTATGAGGCACGGACCCAGAAGCAGGTGCCTGCATGTGCCCAGGTGTGAAGCACTCAGCGGGGCAGTGTCTCTGCCTTGATCATGCTGCTGGCTAAGCAGGAGAGAAGCTGAGGCTTTGTTCCCCGAGGTGCGAGTTTCACCGCCATTCTCACCCACCTCCTCCTGCACAGCCTCCCACAGGGCCCTGCCAGAGGCCCCCTTGCCCTGATCCAGAGAGAGCCTTCCACAGATGCGTCCAGGCTCAGTCTTACCTAAAGGAGTGTGAGAACGGATGAGCCCTGGAAGGTGGCAGTAGGAGAGAAGAAATGTAGTGTTAAGCAAGGGAGGCCAGCGCCCGCCCACAACCCTCCCCTGGGAGCCCCAGGCTGCTTTGCTCATGCCCTGGACGGCCACTCCGTGACAGCTCCTCAGTCCCCACACCATCAGGGAGCACAGCCCTGTCTCCAATCCCACCACCACCTGACTCTACAAGAGACTCCCACAAGCTCACTAAGGGCAACTGCACAGCCCACAGCTCCGCCTCCTGGGCATGGTCCGCTGTGTGAGCAGCCCCTGCTCCCACACCTATATGGAGGTTGGAGGGGAGAAGCCCCAGAGAGGGCTACCAAAGCCAGCACCTAGAACACAAGTGGCCCCACAGAGCAGTGCAGAGGTCTGAGAGGCACTGCAGCAAGCCTGCCAGGCCTGGCCAGTGCTTTGCGTCAGTGGCCTGCGTTCTCCAAAGCACTTCAGTTGAATGGGACCAGAAGTGCCAGGAGAGGGCCTGGAACACTTGGGGCAAAGAACTTCTGCTCTAAGCCCTGTCCACAGACAAGAGAAACCAACCTGGAAACTCCTGTGCCTGAGGGTGGCTGCAGGCACACAGAGGACACAGCTGGCCACTCCTCCACTGTGCAAGTGGCCGCGCCAGAGGGATACTGAAGAACCGACACAGGCTCACTCACGCTGCCTGAGGTGCTCACACCTTGTGGTACAAGTGGGACCTGCTCCTCTCTGGGGGAGAGAGGAGCAGCCTGAGGTCCACAGAAGGCAGGTACCCTTGTATAAGGTCACAGAGCTGGAGGGTGATCAACCCTGAGGCAAACCACTCTCTAATCTGAATCCAGCTCCCTCTTCCTTATGCCGGAGAGGACACCAGAGGCCTCACAGTCCAGGGCTGACCTGTCATGGGCCATTATAGACACATGCATTGTTTGGGCAACTGTCCTAAAGGACCTGTACCCAAGAATTAGGAGGGGCCCACTGGGTGTCATCCAATCCTAAACCTCCCAAGCCTGACTTTCACTTTTAACAAGCAGTGAACTCTCAACCTCAGTCTCTCAGCCAGGATGCTAATGGGCCTCGACCTCAGAAACCACCCGTGACCACTTAGCGAGACCATGGGCACACATCAAGGCCTGCAATGCTGGAGTTCACACCACCACGACAAACACCAACAGCAGGGCCCTGGGCTTAGGACATTCCCTCAAGCAACATGAACACGACCAGCCAACTGGGGAGAGCTAGCCCCTGCTCACCTTGCTGCTCTGCATGCCAGAGCACCTGTGCAAACACCACACACCGCACTGTGGGGGCCAGGCACTCAGACACAGCTGTCCTGGTGTCATTGAGACTGGAACCCTACTGACTGCCAGCCACGCCCTGAGGCCACATGACATGGGGTCAGCGGCAAATCCCAGGTCTTTGAGGAGAATGGGGGCTGCAGGCTTTGTCAGAGGAGGAACAGACAGTGAAGTGGGGTCGTGCCCCTGTGCTTCCAGAAAAAGACAGGCCACAGAAAGAACTGCCTGGAGCCAGGCGTGGTGGCTCACATCTGTCTTCCCTGCTATTCAGGAGGCCAAGGTGGGAGGATCACTTGCGCCCAAGAGTTCAAGGCTGCAGTGCTATGGTGGTGCCACTGCACTCCAGCCTGGGCGAGAGAGCGACACCTTCTCATTTAAAAAAATAAAAAAGCGCCTGGATCAAAATGGCCAGGCCGGTTCCTGCATAGCCCTTCCCACCAGCGCCAAGGGCTCCGCACACCCACCGGATTTCCACCCAGGACACTCTGAACTCAAACGGGAGTGAAGATACTTAAAATGAGTAACACCGAAGGTGAAAACACTCCTAGCAGGGCATGATTTAGGCACAGCAGATACCTGTTGTTTCCTTAAAAAGCTCTGTGGTACAACTGCTCTGAGGCAAGATAGGTGTTTTCAGGAGGAAACAGGCAACAGCCTGGTGCTCACCCTGCAGCCGTCCCTGGGAGAAAGGCCCCAGTGGTATGTGGTCAGAGACTGTCACTGGACTCACTACCATGCAGATCAGGTGGCTAAAGGAGGTGCCCCAGGGTAAACTCCCACACAGCCTAGGGGGATCATGGTAGACCCTGGCTGCCAGCTCAGAGCCTTTAAGGCTGAGCTCAGCTGCAGCTGGGGACAGCGTCCCTTCCTGTGCCCAAGCTCAGCAGTGGTGGATGGGGGCTGCATTTACAGGGTAACCCACAAATGACTCCCCCAGCCATAGCTACTCGGAGGAGCATGGCTGCAGCCCCAGGTGTGTGAGGATGCACAGAAGAAACACACAATGTGTACTGACTGTGCAGTTTCTCCAAGGTTTGACACTTCTCAAAATAAAGGTTGTAGGGTGGGGGTAAATTACACCTCAAACAAAAATAAAAGGTGAGCACAACTTTCAGGCAGAAGCTGTCTCCTCTGCATGGCTGGGTAAGTCCCCGGTGTGGACATCTGTGTCCTCCCCTGTGGCTCAGCAGTCAGGGCAGAGTGCTGGTGCAGGAGAGCCCCCCAGCCTGAGGCCTTCTCAGGCCACACCAAGCCAGGAGGTGGGACACGCTTAACCTGGAGCAGGCACAAAGGGGGCCAGCCCAGGGAAGAGACGCACACATTGCTGAGTCCTGCAGAGCCACCAGAAGGGAAGAGGAGAAGGGTCCACATGGTGCCTGGTCCTTGGGGCACCACCGGAAGATTCTCGACTGTGAGGGGCCAAAGCCCAGAAACCACCTTTGTTGGGATGGGGTAGGGGCTACAGGGAGGCACTCCCTATGGTCTGAAAGTGAGGGGAGTGGTTTTGAGTGTAGGGGCTGGAGCCAAGATGCTGCTGGTGATAGTGACGACTCACACTCTGATTGTCACCTGGCCCTAACACACCCGCCCCCAAAGGCCTTGCCTGAGACACAGCAGGAGGCAGCACAGCCAGACTTCACACTAAGGCTTCTGGCTCCAGGGCCCAATCCCCTTATCACCTCTGCGTTTCAGAGGCAATCTGTGGTGTGGCCAGAGAGCCCAGAGCAGAGAATACCGGGCAAATATGCTCGGCCCATCAGGCTGGGTGGGAGCTGCTGTGTGTGGCCACGGAGCGCCTGGCTCTCCACACACTTCTTGGCCCCTGTCCTGCTCACTGAGGCACCTCTGATGGCCAGAAGGCTCTACCAGCCTCCAGGAAAGTACATTCCGAGCTGGGGCCTCCTGGCATCTGCATACTTTCAGAGACCTGGGTCAGGCAAACACCACTGAGGAAATGCCCTGCTGAGTACCTGGCCTAGAGGTGGCTGGTGACCTGCCCACCCTGAATCTCAGGTCAGAGTCCTTTCCTCTTGTTGGAGCTACAAGGAGCAGACTCCTCCGAAACCCAAGCTACTCAACGGCACTAACAACTGCCCTCCCCTGAGGAATACTGAAATGGCAGAAAGGCAGGGAGGCAGATGACACCCCCCCCCCCAACCAAGGGTGCATGTACAGACTGGTCCAGAGCTGGCATGGCCACACTCCCAGGGCCTGCGCCGTTGAGCCCTGGGCCTAGGCAGGCTTCCCGCAGCACCTCCACGTGTTACACCTCATTGTCCCTGACCAGGTCTCAGGGAGGGAGGCCGGGACGGGGGGCGGGGGTGTCTCACCTCATGTCACCGAGCTTCCTGCTGATGGCAGAGCCCACCGTGGACAGGGCAGCTGAAGTCTTCTGTCCTGCCTGTGAGAGAGTTTCCTGAGTCTTCTTGTAGCTGGAAGAAGACACAGCAGTTCAACCAACCAACCGACAGCAAGGGCAGGCCATGGCCACGGCCAGGAAACAAAGCACAGGAGAGCAGCCATGGGGAAGGCGAGGGGGAGTCCACTGGGAGTGAGACCTGCTAGACAGCTGTGCAGGGCACATGGCCCAGGGCTCCTTGGTCCCAGAGGCACCTGCGGTGCTGGCAAGAGTGGCCAGCGCTGCAGACATACACACTGATTCTCAGCAGCGCCATAGAGTCACAACCTCCCAGCCTTGCAGTGATATTGTTTTCTTGTCTTACTGGTCAACCTCTCCTCCACCTCTCCTGAAACTTAGCCCACTCTCCTGCCTCCTCTCAGCATCTCTGACTACTTGAAAAGCACCACACTTGCCTGCCCCAGAGAAGACAGGCCTCTGAGGCCCTGGATCTCGGCAGGCGGTGCCAGAGCAGAAGCCAGAGAGTCCTGTCAGTTCCCTGCCCAGGCCAACGCAGGCTCAAAGAGGCCCTCTCCTCTTCTCACAGATGACAGCACTCAGACGGGAGAAAACACAAGCTCAAGCACATCCACACCGGGACAAGCTTCGCAGCACGGATGTACAGCCCGTGGGGGCCCCTTCTCCGCCCTCCAGTGCCATCTGGACAACGTCCTATCAGAACATGGAACGGTTCCATTCTCACACCACCTTCACAGTGCAAGAGTCTGGTCCTGGCCACAGTGAAGACTGTCACATCAGTGCCCTCTCGCCCTCCAGTGTCACCCACACATGGGCGCATCACAGAGACAGCTCTGTAACCTCAACGTGAGCAAGAAGGACGCTGTGGCACAGGAACACTCTTGGGCCCACTGCGAGAGTCAACACCTGAAGTTGCTGCCCTTGTCCAGCTGCCCCCAAAAGACACGGCAGCCTCTAACACGACAAAAGCCATAAACAAAACCCAAACCCAAAGCCACCTGGCCACAGCTCCTCACTGAATGAAGCCGGGGAGCTGGAAGCCAAGTGGAGACGGGCTTCTGAAGCTGTCTCTGCGTCACCAGGGCCAACTTTAAGAGCCAGCAAGACTGGCTAAACCCCAAAGGAGCAGCAGTTGGAGACGACAGGCTCCTCTTGTCCCTGGTGTGAGTGTCACCAGGGTGCAGCAAGCATCAGCAACAGGCCCTCCCCACACCCTGCAAGAGGCCCTCAGCCCATCCCAACCGCGCAGGAGGCTGCAGCTGTGCACTGCCTGCTGAGCCGACCTGAGGCCAAGCCAGGCCACACGCTTTCCGTTCAAAATGAAATAAGGAAGATTATCTGCACCTAGAACCATTTTTTTAAAATAAAATACCAGGCAAAAGGTAACTAATGACCTGGAACATTATTTCAAAAATGCAAATTCAGAACACATCTTCAACCTGCATTTTTCCTGAACACATAAAACCATGTTAGCATTCTGTGGTCTGTTGAAGTAAAATAGTCTAAAGCAAACGATTTAGAGAAAAATCCTCATAGAATCTCTGTTTGAGCCCAAAGGGTGGAGGTGGGGAGACTGAAGTCGGAAGAGTAACAAGCACCTGTGTCAGGTGCTGCCTTGGAAAGGTCCAGAGGGTGACTCGGGCAGGGCAGAGACCCCTGACACCAGCAGCCATGACCTACGCTTGCGATCACACCACAACGCCTGGCATTTCTGGGGTGCAGAAATAGAGGGTCACAGTGAGTCTCCTTCAGAAACAGGGACCCCGAAGCCAGGGATGCCCCTGGAAGCAACGGGCATCACCTACGCAGCCTGAGGCCACCACCAGCACCTCACTGCCCTTCTCTCCTCACAGCAGGTCCCCACCCAACACCTGTGACTCCTTCTCCTTCCTAGCCCCATCCTAGGTCTCTGCAGTGGGCAGCAGCCATGAGGCCTCCGCTCCGTGGGCTCACAGTGCTGCAGGACTGTTCCGAGAACCTTGCACACACACACTTGGTGAATGGGGAGGCTGTGACTATTATCACCCCATGACACAGGTGGTGAGGCTAAGCTCAGGTGACAGGGCTGGGGTCAGAGCCAGCGTCTACACCCAGATAACTGGGCCCAGCTGTGCTTGAGAGTGCCAGGCTGTGCCAACCCAGCCAGCACCCTTTTGGGGAAAGAGCCCTGAACAGTCAGCAGTCTCCTCCCACTATCGGCGAGTGTGCCCGTTGGCCAGCGTGGAGCATCTGGTGGGTGTTCCTCTTCCTCCCCTTATCCTGAGTCTGCCTTTGGGGGCTACCCCACCACCACTTGGGGTGGGCGAGTGATCAAGGCCTGGCCACAACCACTAGTCCAGTGAGGCCATACTGGGCCACAGTGATACTGGACTACAGAGCTGGGAACAGGGGCTTCTCTGCCAGGTGAGGACTCCCCCGCTCCCTGTTCAGTTGATACCACCTTTAGCTGTGCTTTCTGTCGCCTGCAACCAAAAGAACTCGAAACGAACCAGCTAGCAACTGCAGAATTATATGGTGCCCACTCTCAGGACTAGGGTTTTTAGCTAGATCTACCCCTTAAAAAAAGATTACAATGAGGTGATTGCTTCATGACTTGTTTCTGCATTTCTGCTCTCAGATACAGAAGTGCTTAGCTGAGAGAAGAGAGTACTGGCAGCATCACAACTGTGTAGGTGCAGCATGGCTTTACAAGGGCTAAGCACCAGAGGTGTAGACACTTATGTCACCTACCAGGCCACGTTCTCATTCCAGTCCTGCAGGGTGCCACTGGCCGAAAGGAACCTGCAAACATGGTCAGGGATGTCTGCAAGCTGGATCTCGTCACTTTCCCTGCAAATGCTCTGGGCAGCAGAGCCTCGTCCACAGCCCAACTCCTGAACCCTAACCAGAGAGGCACCAACCAGGCTGAGAGCATGGCATGGCCAACATCCTTAGCCACCCTGTCCCCTGAACCATGTAGCCCTCTTCCTGGGCTGTCACTGCAGAAATGCCTCCAGCTCTGGAAACACCAATCTGACAACTCTTCCACTGACAGAGTCAGGGGTGACACTCAGGGGAACACCCTCTGCCAGGTGGAGCACCAGCCACGAACGTCCATGCTGAGCCACCCAGGCTTCTCTCAGAGGGGCTATAAGTCTAAGTATCCAAAGCTCTTTGAAGAACTACTTATTTGAAACGGTATCCCAGCAGCTTGGTGTCAGTGGTTTTAGAGAACAGCACTCAAGTCTCCTAAGACTATTTTCAGATGGAGCCTGCACTGTGTGTCTGCCTGGTGCTCAGACTGCAGAGACGACACTCACTGTCTCAACCCAAGGAACACTTACTCCCCAGTAATGTTTGGGTGTAGCCCTAAAGACACAATGCAGCCCACCAGCACTCCTAGAATACCCAGGGCAACAGCTGGCTGCTGTACCAATGCTCACGGACCACCAGAGCTTCCTGGCACCTGCCTCCACAGTGACACCAGACCATGAGGCTCCATGCACTCAGCAAGCCAACCTGGCCCCCAGGCGCCTTTGAGACAAGCCCAGCAGCAACCACTTCCTTTCTGCCCACGTTCTGTGGCAACAATGACAGCACTTCCTTCTAAACAAGAGATGGAAAAGTCCCACAGAGGCTATTGTTAAACATTCCTCTGCTCAGGTCAAAGAGGTTGTAATCAGACTGGAGCACAGATGAACGAAGTGCTATTACCTACTTCAAGGGTCTCACGACACCAGGGGTCACTCTGAGGCACATGTCTGACAGACACACAGAGCTATCTGTGCATTATTTCCACTTTGCTGACACTCCGTGTTGACGACCACGCAGTGCCTCCCAGACCACGAGGACTTCATGTTCCCAACAGCACAACCTACACCACACCCTCCTCTCAACACCACCCCTAAAGTAGGAGTGATGCTCTGAGAACACGTCAGCTGGAGCTAAGTATGCAGGGGAAGGAAGACAAAAAAACAATAATAATCAAACAAAAATTCACCCCTGACAAAATCAGGCCAGGTGGTGCCCTCCACTGTGCTCACTGTCGAAAGCCGTCTGCTAGTCAGAGGTGCATCCTGAGCCTGGCCAGGTCTCCCACTTAAGGGACATAATATCAGGCAGAGGGGACTTTTAAGTGTGGTCTGGTTGCTGAGTGACTCTCTTTCAGCTACTACACCCAGTTCCACAAGAGTTTAGAGAATAGTTTCGTTTATACTTGAGAGGAGAAAAGTTATAGCGAGAAAAAATACCCAGCAAACACCGAAACATAGTTAGTGCCAAGCGCGCACAGCCCCCTGCCGCTAAGGAGTGTTGGGAGGCAGAGAAGAGGAAGGAGGTGCTGAGGGCACGGCCACTCACAGGTCCGACTGGGTCACTTTCTCATTCCACTCTCCAAGTTTCTCAGAAGTTTTCACGTAGCTAAAAACAGAAAGTCTGTGGTGAATTATTTGGAAGAGCTATTGCAACTCAGGCTTCAGACTGCAGGTGAGATTCCAGGGAAGACAGAGAAGGCCAGCTGCCAGCAACTCCTTGTCTCTAGCAAGCCTGAGGACAGGAGCCACTGCCTTAGCCACCCCCTGTGCAGGCCTGGGGAGACCAGGGGTGTCAGCGGGCCAGAACTGACTGTTTCCTTCCCTGTCACACAAATGAGCCCTTGTTTTCCACTTGAAGGGGGTTCTCGGGGAGCACCACTGCTGTGGGGAGCTAGGAGGGCACAACCCACAGGCCACAACACTTCTCTGAGAGTCACCCTTTGGGATTTAAGACCTACAGTGTCCTAGGACAAAAATATGGGCTTTTCATAGGTGAGATATATGAAATGCAACTGAATCTTTCTGTTGGGGACATGGCTTCTGGGAAACATTCCAACACCTCCCCCCATATGTTTTAGAGAAGCCACATAGACTGGCCAAGTCAGAAAGCAGTGCTTCCCAAATTCAGAGAGCTGAGTGACGTCTGGGTCACAGGTCCTGGGGTTCTGGGGCCATATGGTATAGTCTGGGCCACCAGACACAGTTACGGGGACCTCAGAAAAGCCATTCTCATTAAGGACCTAATGAGTGCTCTCTCAAATTAGACTCTGAAATATATTCTTCCTGTCCATTTCTGCCAGGACAACTAGCCACTCACCTTTCTAAAACACACTTGGACTCTGAGCTCCTTGCATAAATAACATTACGGTCCCCAGACTGAAGACTTGGGGCCTCCCGATGGCTGCTTCCAGACAGGCTCACTTGACCCACCTCCTGTAAGGCACCCCACCCCTAAACACGAACACTCTCTACCCCCGAGGCAGAGGCACCCCCCTGCTGAACATTTTCTCCAGCCAGCAGGGCAGCCCACCGTGGGGTAGGTACCTACGCGTTAGAGACCTGCACGTCATGCCAGCTTCTGGACAGGTTCTGCTTCAGACCCCCCAACGCAGAGAGGCCCAGCCTCCTTTTGAGCTCTCCACAGTGCCTCTCCTTGGCTGCCAGCACCTGTCGCAGAGTGACAATTTCCTCTTCCACCTGCAAAGCATGCAGTTGACATGATGAACCATCAATACCGCAGGAAGTGACTAACATCCTTATACAGGCTGCAATGAACTACGTCTTAGGAATAAAGTCTACAGCAGACATCAGGGTTTTTGTGTGTGTTTTCAAAGGGGGGAGTCTCACTCTGTTGCCCAGGCTAGAGAACAGTGGCCTGATCATAGCTCACCACAGCCTCAAACTCCTGGGTTCAACAAATCCTCCTGACTTAGCCTCTCGAGTCCTTAGGATTACAGCTATGAGCCTTGGCACCCAGCTATTCTGTTTTTATTTGGTACCAGCACCCCAACTTCTAGAGAACTGTCTTGCTCCTCCCACCCCAAGCCAGTGGTTCTGGTGGGGCTACCAATCACTGTGTCCACTTGTGGTCATAAGGACTGGCCCAAGATGACCAAGCAAGGCCTGAGGTCAGAGCTTTTTCCTGGCACTGGGCATGGGTGTTAGGAAAGAGAAGCCCTTTTTTCCTTCTGGGTTCAGACAATAGAAGCTATAACTGCTGGCAGCCAGGTGCTCTCTCATCCATGGGGGATTCCACATGTAGTAAGAAGGAAGCAGAGCTGCACAGACAGATGGACAGAGAAACAGCCCTTATGACAACATCTGTGTTCCTGAGGTCAGCTCCAGGCCTTGGTAAAAGCCAGTTACACAAGCCAAAAAGTGAATTCCCTTTTGTGCTTAAGGCAGTTTGAATTGGGTTATAAAAAGATGCCTGATAACAAAGGCTTGAGAGGCAGGAGGACTGATTATGGACAGGAGTTCTAGGCTACAGCGATCTATGAAAACACACTGCACTCCAGCCTAGGCCACAGAGCAAGATCCTGTCTCTAAAAAATATTCATGAATTAAATTTTTTTTTAGACAGGGTCTCACTCCATTGCCTGGGCTAGAGTGCAGTGGTGTCATCACAGCTCACTGCAACCTCAAACTCCCAGCAGATAGCATGCTAAGAGTGGCCACCCTGTGTGCATTCTCCTCAGGGAGAACCTCTGAGGTGCCAGGCAGAGGTGAGAGGAAGAAATCAGGCCCTGTCTCCACTGTCAGGTGGCTCTGAGTCCAACACATGGAGCTGGGCACATGCAAAGAGACCCCTGTAATCAATGGGAACACACGGCATGGTAGGAGGGCAACTCTTCCAGAGCACCGGCCCCTCATTAACCCAAAAGAGCCTTGAGACTCAGGGTCACCCCAAGACAAACAGTCAAGCCACAGCACCTTGGTGAGCTCAGCCCTGAGCTCCTCCTCCTCAGCCTCCGTTAGGCCCTCGACAGCAAGAGTCCGGGCAGCCACACCTGTGTCGACAGGGACGTCGGTCATGGAATCAGACAGCAGACCTTTGTTGGGAGAATTCAGGTTGATGTCTGTCAGAGACAAAATGAGACAGGAAAGTGTCAAGTAAGCTACTAGGAGTTAAATGGGGTATAGGTCTCCACTAGGAGGAAAGTAAGGGTGGGAGGGAGACTCTGGAGACTAAAACCTCTTCTCTGAAAGGTCTGTGAAGACTGTTTGGGCGTCAGAATGAGAGCAGACAGACCTCAGGCCACATGAGATCCAAATCTAATACCAGTACTAGAAATGCCTGCCCAAGGGACCCAAACCCTAACTCTGGTTTCCCCTGTAGTGAAGCAGGAAATCCACACTATAAAGAAAACAGTCCAATCTAACAGATCTTCCATTTTTTACAGAAAGGGAACTTACTATAGCTTAAACACAATAAGGATCACTTTCCACTCAACTCATCGGCCAAGGAACATGCTAAAATTATACACAAGGAGCATGTGCTAGTCACCCAGGACCTGCAGGGAGCCAGCAAAACAAAAGTCCCTGTTAATCACATCCTTGACCCTCATCCCACAGCCAGGACACTGCCAGCATGTAGAGAGGTCCATATCCCTCAGCTATACTCAGATCAGATTCACATTCCTGCAGTCACTACCTTTTCTTCATGTTAAATGCATCTTCCTGTTTGCACTAACAGTCTACAAGACATCACATAAGGAAAAATGGTCGACTTCAGTTCTCTCCACCTCCAGACACATGACCATTGTTCAGTACGCTTGTGTAATTAGTATTAAAAACCCTCTTGACAAGCAGTTTATAAAGAAACAAGCTTAGTATGGTGTCTGATGTGGTTTTTTTTTTTTTTTTTTGAGACAGAGTCTCACTTTGTTGCCCAGGCTAGAGTGAGTGCCATGTTGTCAGCCTAGCTCACAGCAACCTCAAACTCCTGGGCTCAAGCAACCCTGCTGCCTTAGCCTCCCGAGTAGCTGGGACTACAGGTATGCGCCACCATGTATGGCTAATTTTTTCTATATATATTAGTTGGCCAATTAATTTCTTTCTATGTATAGTAGAGACGGGGGTCTCGCTCTTGCTCAGGCTGGTTTCGAACTCCTGACCTCGAGCAATCCGCCCACCTCGGCTTCCCAGACTGCTAGGATTACATGCGTGAGCCACCATGCCTGGCCTGATGTGTTTTTAATAAAAGCAATGCGCACACCAATCTAACATGTTTAAAAGTAAATTAAAAGGCATAAAGATTGGAGAGAGGTGAAAGTGTCTTTAATTATAGATATGTTAGTCAACTGTATAAATCCTAAAGAATCTACTAAAAATAGACTGCACTTAAAACAAAGATGTTCTATGTAGAAGTAGCTGGCTGCATCTCATTCCCTTTGCGTGTGCCGCACAGCTGGAGCTGCACAATTTCTTGGTGTTCAACAGATGTTTACTAAATGAACTATACCCACTTTTTTATCAATTGATTCTGATTTTTATCAGAGACGAACCTACATGATTTTATTTCATCATTTGTATCCACTGTATTCAACCTACTCAAGTTCAGTAGGTGCCTTAAAATCTCTACTATTTTTCTTTTCTATTTCTGAAATAGAAGGCTTTTGGACAGTTTCTGATGGTGAAGCTAAAATTGGATCCTATGGAAATCACCCTCGGATAGAAACTGGACACTTACCAAGCATGTGGTAAGGCACCTCATAATCATTCTGCAAGATACCAACCTCACCACACCCCTGCAGGTAGGAGCCACTCACATCCTGATTTATGGATGGGACTGAGGCCAGGACAGTCTTACCAAAGTTACTACAGAAAATAAGTGTGGGGCTGGTGCCCTAGGTAAAAGGAAAAAAAAAATGTATACTATCTCAAAAATGGGAGTAATAGAAAGACCAATCTCAAAGAGTTATTCAGAAAATAGTAAAACATCATTTGAGAAACAGGCTTACAATGGTGTCCAGCACACAGTAAGTGCTCAGTAGATGTTTTCTATCATTCTTAGAATTAGCTCTTATGATGCTTAATTAGAGATGCAAACTAAATAGTGGAAAGCCTCCTGAATTTAACACACCTGGAGCCGTATGATGTTCAATTTATAAAAACCTTCAGAATGTACTAGAACCCAGGAATTCTAATAATTAATATGTAGATCCAGGCCAAAGATTAGAAAAGCTTCCTGGACTTATGCAGTGTGGTTATGACAACGTAGAAATTTAGTATCCCATCTCAAGAGCCCCAGAATGGAAGACAGACTTGTATCATCCTCTCAAGATTTTAACCACCTGGGCCTGCTCCACATGCCACCTCATGCTGGTCTGGGGTGTCTGTTCTGGAAACTGGTGTGGTACGTTGGGTGTGCCCCAGACTCACTCCACCCCTCTCCTCACGAGCAGGCTAGGCTCCTAACAGAGTTACCACCCAAGGGGCACTGCGCAGTCCTGGAGGACAGTTTCACCTCTCCTTCTCTTCCCCGGAGCCGCCCTCAACACCTCGGCCCGGGTCCAGGACCACACATGAGTGTCCCCGAGGCCCCCTCGCAGAGACGGAAGGCGGCAGTGCACGGGCCAGGTGGGGACTGAATGGCATAACGAGACCTGCCAGGAGTGAGGAAACGCAAACTCTGGGAACAAGGGAGAGCGCCAGGGAAGCGGACCTCGGAGCGGTCCCAGGGGAAACAAGGAGGGCAGCTGGATAGGCTAGGAAGCAGTCTGAGCCGGGGACAGAAGATGCACATCATGACCCGAGAGCTTTGAGCTGAGGGGCCCAGGAGCTGAAGAGGGGTCGCGGGGCGGGCGGGCAGAGGCTGAGGGGACCCAGAGTCACACAGGAGACCCCAGGGACGGGAGGAGCGCGAGGAGGCCGGGCCCATCTGCGGCGGAGGCGCCGGGGCGGTAGGTACCTTGGCCGGCGGAGTCCATGTTCAGGCGGCGGCCCGGCCGCAGCTGGCGTCTGGGCCGCGGTTGCCGGAGCTGTGGGAGACAAACAGGCCGCGCCCGGACTCGCTCGCCGCGTACACACCAGCCAGCGGAACCTCCTCGGTCGACGCGGCTTTACGTAATCGGGTGCGCGACAGCTCACTTCCGCTTGGGCGCTTGGTCGGCCTTCGTCCCGCCCCCCACAAGCGGCGTCCAATGAGAGCGTGGCTTGGCCCCGTCCCGGTTTATCCGATTCAACCTGATAGGCCGAAGCTGCGGGCGAAGCAAGAAAGGGAGGCTTGAGTTCTGAGGGCATCCATCCTGTGTTGGCTCCACCAGCGAGACGCACAGGTAGAACGGTCAGAGCAGCGGTGCACGGGGAGGTGGGAAGTAGGAGGACTGTCTTAACATAGAGCTGCGGAAAACCGGGGCTGAGCCCCAGGGGACAGTCGGGGACGTATGCTGATTCCTAGGAGCGCCGTGCGTCCCTCTGCGAGCCAGACTCAGACCCTATGGGATGCCTTCAAGTCCTGACCACCTGATTCTGGGGGTCACCTTCCCCCCAGAAGTTGTTTTTTTTTTTTTTTTTTTTTTAGTTCTTTTTGTGGAGATGTCTGTGGGGGGTACGCATAAAAAGACAAGGCCGCGATTCGTCCACTTGCCCTGTAGACGCCGCTGCCCTCTGGACTGCTCGGATCTGGCTGGCGGCGTCTCAGTCTCTGAATCCCTCTAGTCCAGCGCGTCTCGGGCCACGGAGTTCACACAGGCGTGAACACTGCAGGCAAGCCCTTGCCTGCGGCCCTGCCCTGTGCCGCCCCAGTGCCGTCTCACCTCCTTTTAACAGCAACTACAGAACAAGTACTGGAGCCCTCCCCACTTCACAGATGAGGAAACTGAGGTTAAAGTAACTCGCCCAAGGTCACTCAGCTGGATGAAGGGCTACCAGGAGACTCTGGAACAAGAGTCTGCCTGACTTCAAAGGAGAGGTGTGTAACCACCAGGCAACTGGCCCCACTGAAACAAGTCCCACAGTTTCCCTTCTTTGGCTCCTACCTGCTCCTGGAAGGAAATCCTTAAATGGTATTCAAACCTTTTAGGATCTGATCCCTCTGTATTGCACTTCCCCCTTCTGGCCAGGCCACCCTGCAGACACTGACCCCCCCTAGGCATGCATGGAAGCCCCAACCACTGCCCCTTCCTTCACCTGGCCCACCTCCTCCCACAGGTGTCTTCCTGGTATTCTTGCACGGTCCTAGGGCCTTCACCATCATGACCTTATCCTGCTCTGGTGCTCTCAATAACATGTCTTCTCCATTTGCCACCTTTTACAGATATTCTTGTCCAACCTAACCTGGCCTGTCCAGGGGCCAGGGACAATGGGATAGCCAACAGTCCCTGCTTCATGCAGTCCAGGGCCAAATATAAGAAGTGACATTATAGATGGTGATGAGCAGAGGCCTTGTCTGTACTTCTATGTTGTATCCCTGAGTCAGGAGCAAAACCCAGCTCAGGCCTGGCCCCAGGAGACACCCAGTGATTAGGGTCAGTGGTGTCTGTAGCCCCACATGCCACTGTGCCTGTTACTCTGAGTCTGTAGTCCCTCTGTGAATCCCCTTCTATAGAAGCCATAAGTGTGGGGGTGGGGAGAAAACTCCCCAGTTAGCAGCATCACACTTCTGGGCATGTCTAGGTACTAAGATCTGCCTTATACTCCTGCAATGCCAGTGTCTTCCTTTCACGGCTAGGGGCAACCCTTCAACACTCAGTTGGTGTCATCTTCGCAGAAGCTGTCCTGGAACCCAGGCCAGGTGAAGAGCTCTTGCTGATGGCCCCACAGCCCCTGCTCCCATCATCCTCTTGTGGTGATCAAGGCACCCATCACACAGCACTGCCATAAACGGGGTCAGGTTAATCTTTGCATTCCCTTTAGGAGCTGGGTGCAAATGTCCAGAAGTGTTTTGGGAGGAACAGAGGGAGCAGGGAAGAACAGAGGAAAGAGCAGAATGTCCCTGTGAAGGAGGGCCCCAGGTCCCCATATACTGCCCACCCTCCCCAAGACACCAGGTCAGGATCCCCTGGCAGGGCTAGCTTTACTGGTTGAGGTTGTGGGAAGGTGAACCAACAGGAGCCTGGAAGGTGTGCGAGCATGCAAACCACCACTGGCTCGTGGGCTACAGCCCCCAGGGCAACTGGAAGTCCTCAGGCTCTAGCGGGCTGCAGTGAGTTGCTTCCACGTTCTTGAGGTGCTTCCGTGCCAGAAATAGTGCAAGCTGCCGGCGCCGCCTCGGGCTCAGGCCCTGGCCCACAAGCCAGGGGAAGGCAGGCCCATGGGGCCCCCATGACTCTTCATCTTCCAGTTCCTCCTTGCAGCGGTCTCGGTAGGAGCGCAGCACTGTCAGGCACCATTCATCGTCTACGCGGTAGCGCCGGTAGAAGGAAGCCTCCTGTGCCAGGCTGCCAGCGCGCAACCAGCGGGTCACGATGGCCTGGCCCTCGCGTGCCATCACGGCTGGGTAGCGATACTGCAGCAGACGCAGCAGCAGCTCGTTGCCGCGATTGCCCTCCACATCGCCGGATGGCAGCGCGGGCAGGTGGTCCGAGGTGCTGACCACGTCGTCCTGCGTGCGCCGGAGCAGCAGCACTGGCCCAGGGTAGCAGCACAGCTGCTCAGCGACATTGAGGTTGAAGTGCTCGCGCACGGTGCGTACCACCAGCCCTTTCCAACTGTGGGGCATGACTTTAAGTGCCAGTGGCATGAGATCGTCGAAGGTGGCGTCAAGCACCAGTGCACCCAGCTCTGGATAGGTCATGGTGGCCCAGGTGGCCGTGAAGCCACCGATAGACCAGCCGTAGACCACCACCTGCTCCGGCGGGAAGTGCAGGCGGTGCAGTGCGTACTTAACCACCACGTCCATGGCGTTGGCGTCGTGCTGAGGGAAGGGTGCGCCCGTGCTGCCGCCGAAGCCTGGGTGGTTCCATCCCAGCACCGAGTAGCCGGCCTCGAGCGGGGCAGATAGACAACCCATCTCATAGAAGCCAGCATTGCCCTCGCAGCAGATAACGAGGCGCAATCCACGACCGTGGCTGCCGGGGTGTTGGCGCCGATCCATGAACATGGTGTCGATCTCATTGCCGTCACAGGCCACCAGCTTGGCGCGCCGGCCGCGGTAGCGCTCCACGAGGCGCTCCTGGCCCTGCTGCAGCAGCGGCAGCAGTGCACGCGTCATCAGGAACATGGAGCCTGGGTACACGAGCCAGCGGCCCAGCGAGTGGGCCAGCGCGTAGCTGGCGAGCTGGCCGGGCAGCTCGCGGATCTGCTGCAGGAGGCACTGCGCCTGGCTGCGTGCGCCGCGCAGCGGCCGCCCCGCCACGTCCCCGCCCAGCGCCGCGTCACGCAGCAGCCAGACGCCCGCCACGGCCGCGGCGCACGTCAGCGCTCGGTGGCCGCTGCCGCCCGCGCTGGCGGCGCGCACGTCATCCCAGCGGAAGTCCACCGGCCAGCTGCGAAAGTTGTAGCTGTAGTTGGCGGTCAGGTAGATCTTAAACACGTGCACCAGCGCCTTCACGAAGCAGATGACACACATGGGCGCCGAGGCTACGGGCCGCTCCACGCTGGCCGGAACGCCCGGTCGCCGGGCCGGGTGCGCGGGGAACAGCCCAGGCCCGGCCCGGCGGGCGGCTGCAGGGGCGAGCGCCGCGCAGGGCTGCCTCGGAGCATGCCTACTCTAGGCTAGGCCCTAGAGGCCTTTGTGACCTGGGCCTTCCAGGGCCGAGTGGAGGCTGCTTCCGCCCAGCACGGGCCAGCTTTGTGAGTCACTGTTGCTGGGGCAGAGGCGACACTAGGGTGATGGGCGCATAAAGGGCTCCCGGGGTGGTGTACCTCAAGTTCCGTCCCGCCCCGCCCCCGCACCAGACGCCATGGGACGCGCAGCGGCCACACCCTCCTGGGGCCTGCTCCTGTCTCCCGCTTCCCTAAACTGGAGACGAACAACCAGACGGGCAGAAAGGGCAGCCTTGAACTCCGCCTGGCGGGTGGATGCTGGGTTCTCACTGGGAAGAAAGCTTGCTGTGAGTGCCCGACCTCGCCCTCTGGTTGACGTCTTCCGCCGAAGGCTGCTGCAGGGCTCCCCCTGGCCTGCTACCCTGCCCCAACACCCCTCTCAGGAGAGGAGTGAGTGTGGGCTAGAATCCTGCTGTTCTGCATCCTCTTTTCACTGGCTGCTGGCAGCAGCAATGACCTTCTCCAGGTGGGTCCTGTCTGGCCAGGTTCCTCTTTTTCAGTCACAGGTTGATCCCCCACCCCCACCCCACAAGCCGTATCTTCCTCTTTTCTGGAGGGCTCTGGTGGTTTCCCCCTTTTTCTCCTGCACTAGGAAGGGTCAGCCCACCTGAGGGGGAAGGGGCTGGTTATAGGCCACCAGGGGGAGCCCCAAGGAAAGGCCGGGGCTCAGGGTTCCCCACTCAACAGTTCCCCAGACCTGAAATGAAACTACTAAAACCAGGGAACTGGGCAAGCCCAGCCTAAGCTTCTGAGCCCAGGAGCCAGGCCTGCCCGAGAGACCTCAGCCTTTTGGGGAAAGGGGAGTCTGTCCCAGACCCCAGCAACACCTCTCTGCTCTCCTGCTCGGTGTCTGGGTTGGGCACTGCCTGGCCCAAACAGCTGCCACCAGCTCCGAGAATCATCTGTTGCTGTCTTCAGAGGCTGGGGACAGAAGGACAGAGATCAACTGGCAGAGTGAGTGAGTGAGGGTGCTAGGCATCCCCCCATCCCCAGTTTCCAGATAAAACCCAGAATACCCAGTTAAATTTTTTTTTTTTTGAGACAGTCTCACTTTGTTGCTCAGGCTAGAGTAAGTGCCATGGCATCAGCCTAGCTCACAGCAACCTCAATCTCCTGGGCTCAAGCGATTCTACTGCCTCAGCCTCCCAAGTAGCTGGGACTACAGGCATGCGCCACCATGCCCGGCTAATTTTTTTTTTGTATATATATTTTTGGTTGGTCAATTAATTTCTTTCTATTTTTAGCAGAGACAGGGTTTCACTCAGGCTAGTTTCTAACTCCTGACCTTGAGCTACCCGCCCGCCTTGGCCTCCCGACTGGCCAACCCAGTTAAATTTGAATTCCAAATAAACAACAAATGCTTCTTCTTTTTTTTTTTTTTTTTTAAGAGATAGGGTCTTGCTGTTGCCCAAGCTGGTCTTGAACTCCTGAGCTCAAATGACCTCCCAAGTAGCTGGGACTACAGGTGAATGCCACAGCAAGTTACTCTTCCAGTATAAGTGTGTTCCAAATAGTGAATGGGGCTGGGTGTGGTGACTCACGCCTGTAATCCTAGCACTCTGGGAGGCTAAGGTGGGCGGATCACTCAAGATCAGGAGTCCGAAACCAAATAGTGAATGGAATATATTTAAAAATTGTCTGAAATTCAAATTTAATTGGATATCCTGTTTTTAGGTTTGTTGTTGTTTTGCTAAATCTGGCAATCCTAACCCCAGCGCACATGAGCACACACACACACAAAGAGCTAGCTGCGATCCAGATTTCCCTGATTATCTAGCTTTTATCCCAGATTGGGCTCCCCTGCTTATTGGTCAGGTTCTGAGGACCACAAGGGTGTATCTCAGGGCCCACCCACCAGTGCTCCTGGTCCAGGTCCCCACCCTTCTGTCTGCACTAGGTCCTGGGCAGCAGCAGGAACCCTGGCCTAGGAGTGAGCCCATGGATGCCACACCTGGGGCCAGGGATGGGCAGAGCTTCCCATGTGAATTGGTGGTTCTCCTCCTGAAATGCCCACCCCTGGCCCTGTGGGGAAAGGAGGCCATGTGGGCAAGGGTGGAGATGGAAACCTTGGGTGAGGTGGAGACATTCACTCTCCTGGGAACCTCTTTCACAGACTCAAGATGCTCCCTATCCTAGGTGTGGGGGGGCCTGTAGGCTCCAGCCTCTTTTGTGTGAGACCACAAGAGTGAGCCCTGACCACAGAGCAGAGGAGACCTGACTGGGGGTCCTGCCTCCTTAGCCCAGGTCCACAGAGCAGAGGAGACCTGACTGGGGGTCCTGCCTCCTTAGCCCAGGTCCAGGCGGTGGGTGGGGGAGGTGCCTTGAAGGCTCCCATGCCTGGTTTGGACCCTGCAGACACAGCAGCGGGTGTCCTGGAGGATTGTCCACACGGGATGTTGGGCATGCCACATTTTGTTTTGAGGAGCCTGTTCATCCTGGGGGGGTGGGGGGCGTCTCCCACCTTGATCTACTCTGAGACTTTGAAACTTTTTTGGAAATGAAGGCTTTTCTTCAGCCAGGCCCACCTGCCCTGAGCTCAAAAAAAAAAAAAAAAAAAGAAAGCTAGAAGCTCAGAGGAGGAGGAGGAGGAGAGCCAGAGATCAAATTCAGACTCCAAGGGGCAGAGGTCAAGAGGCTGGAGTCACTGGGCCCCAGGGGTTCCATGCCTTATCCTGTGTCCTGGCCCCTGACCCCACCAGCCCATGGGAGCCCCCCCCAGTGCCCCAGAACCACCAGCTCTGGTGAGACAGGAAAGCATGTGACAGGAAGAGAGCTGCCCCTCTCCAAGAGAGGCCTCCGGACTGGACCAGCTGCAACAGTAGTGACCTCTTGTGCCCCTACCCCCATCTGTTCAGGGAAGTGTCCACAACAGGGCAGGGGGTGGGTCTGTGTCCCTGCTTATCCATTTGTGGAGGCAACCCCCCTAAGCCCCCTATGCCCTCCAGGCAGACATCTGAGCATGCACCCCACCCCCACAGGGCCTGCTGGTCTTGAGAACTCTACCCTACAGGGCTGTCACCCTCCCCCACAGAGGAGTTGGCCTCCCTGGAGGCCCTTGATTTATGCTTTGGGAGCCTGCAGAGCCAACCTTGGAGAAGAAAGAAAAGGAGAGAGAGAAAACCAGTCCCAGAGGCTGGAGGGGCAGGAGCCAGGATTAGAACCCCTGGCATAGGGCATCTGGCTAGGCATAGACCAACCACAGCTGCCCCACACTCAGGGAGCCCTGCCCAGGCAGCCTAGGGGAAAACTGAAGCTGTCCTGGTGGGAGGCGGAGCTGAGTCTGCACAAACGCCTCTGCTCAGGAAATGGGGTACAGGGAAGGTGGAGGTGGCTTGGAGCCCAAGGACAGGAGGGGATGCTTCCTGGCGGATACAAGGTCAGAAGAAGGGGCGGAAGTGGCCAAGACAGCTGCTGAACATCTGGAGTCGCAGAGAATTAATTACCCAGTGCCCGCAAGGACAGTGGGGTTGTGGGAGGGGGGAGTGGTTTGCAAGGGAGCCTTCTCCTTCCTGGCTCCCTGTAGGGCCTGTCCTCTGTCTCTGTCTCTCGCCCAGGATGCAGCACACTTCTGAGCAGCCCTTCCCCCCAGGGTCCCCCCATCACCTACCCCAGGAGAGAAGATGCCATAAACTATTCCGTTCTGAGTCTTCAGCCACATTGAAAGCCTGTGACCACACAGGACACACCTTTGGGTCACCTTTGGGTGACCATGCTGTGTGTGTGTGTGTGTGTGTGTGTGTGTGTGTGTGTGTGTGTGTGTGGAGAGGAGGGTGGGGAGGGCCAGAGCCCCACTAGGAACTGGGGAGAAGTCACTGTCCTTGCCCAGCACTGCTGCTTAAGCCTCTGGGCCCCCCCAAGCCTGCAGGTGGCTCCTGCTCCAGACCTACTTCCCCTCTCCTGTGGGAATTGGTCAAGGTCACTCCAGAATCCTTGACCCCTACCTGGTGCTCTGACAGGTGGCAAGGGGAGGACAGCCACGTTGCTCCCCATGCCAGGGTAAGTCTGGTAGGAGTCAGCCCTGCAGCCCTGATGTGGTCTGAATTCCCTGGGACTCACCACCCATCCTCGGGCAGGGTGCAGTTTGCACGATTTCTGCAGAATCTGAAGGGCCATCGTATGTTCTGGGGCCGACCTCACCCCAGGCTTAGAAGACCTTCCGAGGTCTTATGCTTGCAACACCCAAGTTTTGATAAAAGGTGAGTGTTTAATTATTATTGTTAATAAAAATGTAACAGTCTCTCTGCAGCCAGTGAAACAAGGATGTAAAAAATGTTAGGCGTCCTTTCCACGCCCCCTCCTAAGTTTCCAGAGTTATTAACCTGGACTGTGTCTTTTCACGCTCTTCTCTATCTGCCTTCCAAACACACACATGGTCTTATCCAGGGGTTAGTTTGTCATTTGCTTTTATAGCCACGGATGGAGTGTACACGTCACTCCGCCACCCGCCTTTCTCCACAGTGCATCTGTCATGGGCATCGCTGTGTGCCCTCGCGGTGCCATGCACTGATGCCCGGTGCATCCTTCCGCTGGTGGACACACACGTTCCAGGCCTTCAGCGTCTGCAAACATGGCTGCAGTGCACACCCTCGTCCAAGGACCCCAGCCTCGAGGCACTTTTCTTATACCCTAGATTTCTACAACTGCGTTGCTCAGTCCAGGAGCGTGTTCTCAAGGCCAGGAGATTTTGCCAAATTGCATTTCCAAAAGGTTGTGCCAGCCGGTGAGGCCTTTGAAGGAGCTTGTCTCTGCAGGCTCTGCAGCAACGTGGGGCAGCTCCGTGCTTTTAGTATGTGTCTGTGTTGTGTGTAAATCTAATGAATTCTGACTGATCCTGGCCGCCGACCAGACCAGCACCGGAAGCCATTCCACCCCGCCTGGCAATCCGGTCCAGCTTTCGCTCGCTGTCCCTTGGAGACCCCTCACCTGGGGGACACTGGCGCCAGCTGCCTGTAATGACCAGAGAGAAACCACGGCCTGGATCTCGGAGAGGAGGGCACATTAAGCAGGGCAAGAGGGGAAAGAAAGGTTGGGAAGGATGAGGTGCATGGAAATCATGGGGGTCCCCTGGCTCTTGGCTTGAGAGCCGGGTCTTGGTGCTTTGTGGATCCCTTGCATTTCACCTTGCCAGCGTGGACTTCAGAAAACCAGTCATGGGGTGGGGAAAAGGGCTCAGCTCGAAGGGTTCCAGATGTGCTTCCTGACTCCTTGGAGGACACCAAGACCCATCGAGGACAGAGAGGTCACCTCCTCTTCCTGGTTCCTCCAAGGCGTGGAACCATGGAAGTTCTGCAGGGTGGTGAGGCCCTAGGTCAGATGTCACCAAAGGGGCATCTGCCAGGCAGCTCTTGGAGAAAGGAGGCATCACCCAGGTCCCTGCCTCAGCACCAGCTCAGGCCCCTCCCACTGCACCTGTGGCTCAGGGCTCCTCTCTGAGGCGACTGCAGTTTGTCATGGGAAGGGAAGGTTACTGCACATTCCCTTCCAGGATCCCGAAACCGGATGGCCACCCTGCAGAGTGGAAAGGAAAAGCCGTATGTATGGTCAGACCTCCTGCCTGAGCTGCAGCCTAGCCAAGCCCTCCCTGTACCTGG